CACTTTAAATATGGTTAAAATAAGGGCTAATTTGGTTCCAGTAATAGTGCAGAAGCAGAAATAACCGTGCGGGGTCCGGAGTGCAGGGTCCCTGGAGCCCTGCCGCCTCTCTACGAGCTTGCCAAGCTGAAATCCCCCTGTTATGCCATGTGTCAGTGCCACCTCCTCCCGTGTTCCATTCCTCACACTTCTGCCCCTGCCCTCATCACCACCTTTAGCACACATGCCCCACCACTCTTTGGGGTCATCACTGATGAAGGCCTCTCCTCTTCCTCCATGTCCCTTCATTCACCTTTGGGCTACACATGTGCACTAAGCCAGTACAATGTAAGCCAAAACTAACATAACATAAGATAATATTATATTTAAGCATCAAAGCAATAAATCTCAAATAATTAACATTTTCCTGGGACCCAAGCAGATTTTCCTTTCTTTCTGTTAATTTTTAGTAACTGTTATCTCTTGCTTTTTCCTGCCTTGAACATCTGCAGGAAAGGAAGGGGGCGGGTTGGAACCCCTCCTCTCCCTTTCTTTCTTGGCATTACACCTTTTAACTGTTTCATTATTTCCAAATATTAATTACTGTGTCAATATTAATTACTGTTTCTATTTTGTCAGCATGAATCATACCTATTTACCACAGGTATTAAAAAATCAATCCACCAAGTTTTAAAAAAATCAGCAAAGCAACAAATGTGTTACCAATATTTTGTTTGTTTACCTTTCATGAAGTATGACTGCACTTTCTTGCTTTACTGCAGAGAGATTGGAGTTTAGGAATCTAAGTGTTGTTTGATTTAAAAATGCAGATTATAATCTCAATAGCAACCAACCCCTGATTTTCATAAACTTTCAAAATCTGCCGCTTCAAAATTAAAAGAAAATTAATAAAGTGTTTTATTAACTGATTTGATATATATTTACTTTTAGATTCATACCAAATGCCACAACAGATTTTTAGCTCAGATCATGTTAGAGATCCTCTTCTAAATCCTGATGCAGTTACAATCAGAGAGAGACAACAAGAAATTCTCAAAGGATTGTCAAAATTACGGCAGGTAAGCAGAAATTTATTGGCTAACTGTGCATGTGTGTGTGTATATATGTGTGTGTATATATATAGAGAAATACTGAAGTAAAAATTATTACATCATTATCTTTAATTCTATTTCCATCATTTGATTTATATTTTGGGCCCTGTCCTCTACTTTTGTTCCATTTTACTAATTTTGTTTTTCACCTGTTGCTTCCATCTTTGGACAGTCCTTAGAGAGAGAACATGGACTCCTCAGTCCTTAAATCAGCTATGAAACAGTGAAGTGCCTGAGCAAACTTGAAACCAAGAGAAATGACTTTGTTTGGTGGCCAGGTTTCTGTGGTTAGGGCTGTTCATAAAGAATGTATCAGTTTCAACAGAACAGTTTTAACAACACTAGAACCTTGTTAATGAGGTTTCCTCTCTGCTGTTCCCAGGTTAGGACAGAACAGTGGGGTTGGTGGGGTGGTCTCGTGTCAGGCCTGGAAAAAGACTGGAATTTGCAAACTGGAAATATGAAAACTTAGAAAATCCTTCCAAGACAGCTGCTACTTGTTAACATGTAAAAAGCAAACTCAGTATTTGTCAACCATCCTCCTGCTGTACAGATGACACCTGTTTTGCCTCAGTTATTTGACTGAGAAAGCATGAACAGTGCAGGATTTTGTCTGATATACAAAAAGCTGAGTTTTCTGTTTCAGAATATAATCTAGTCTTGCTCTTCTGCATTTATATATACATATATAGAGTGGATTGATAGTGTCAGAGTACATACACACCTGTATTTACAACATATTTAGCCATTGTTTTGTTTGGGGAAATTCACATAACAGTGCCATAATGTCAGCCAGTGTTCAGTCTCTGAACTCCCGGCTGAGGCAGCGATGGATGCACCGGGCTGGTGCAGTCCCGGTGGGATTGGCTGAGCAGGGAAGGAGGGAGGGTCAGTCTGGCACTGCATTTGCTACCAGACAGCAAATCTCTGTCTGTGCCTCAGTCACAGCAGGTACAGGAGCTAGCAACAGACTCTCTTTCCCCACTGAAATCAAAAGTCAGTGGATAAGCTGAGCAAAGTGAATGATTTGTGAAAAAGAAGGGACAAAGTTTAACACAGAGGACTCAGCCCCAGGTCAGTAGCACCCCACTGTTCCTGAGGCAGCAGCTCTGCAAGGGCTGCAGGTGACAATGGCTGGGTGGGGACACACCCCAGCTCTCTGGGGAGGGATTTCCCATTGCTGAGCCCCTGCCCAGGACCTGGGCAACCCCTGTGGCAAACACTCAGCTGCCAGCTCTCAGGGTTATTTGTTCCTCAGCTCTTGGTTTATTTAGGGCAGTTTATTTTATAACTTGGTTTTGTGACATGCTTATAAATGCAAAAAATACTCTGCAAAAATACTAATTATTGACACAGAGACTGAAAGCAGTGACCCATTAATAGAAATAAGCAGATCCTGTTGATTAATTAGAAAGCAATTCATCAAGTGATTGAAAGTAGGCAGCTGCTGCCTTAGAAGGAGCCAGAGTGAAGCCTTGCAGGCTGCTTTGCTGCCTTTCCTTTGGTGCCACCAGGAATCTGTGCCTCAATTGCTGCAGGAGCTGCTGCCTTGCATTAGGTCTGTACCGAGCTGTGCCAGCAGCCTGTAACTCTTGTCTTTGAGAAAGGCCTTGGAACTCCTGAGAAAAACAATTACCTTTTGTTTTTTTAAAAAAACTAACTTCTGTGGTATCAGATTATTTCTGACAAGTCTAAGATAGATGGAGAGCAAGGGGCCAGATGTATCAATAAAAACTTACTTTTAATTTATTCACATGCTTGTCATAGTTCTATCATGTATGACCTGAATCCAGGAGGGTTTTTTGTGACAGGGTTTCTCCATCATCAGTACTTACAAGAACCTTGAACCTTTTGGCAGTTCTCTGTGTCTCCTGAAATGTCAGACACTGCTCTGGTTCCAGTGGCCCTGCTGCCCTTGCTCTGAAGGGAATTGTTTGTGTTAAGGCTGAAAGCCAGTGCCCATCAGGGTTTTGGGTTCTGCTTCATTCAGGACTTCACTACAACACTGCAAATGCAGAGACAGTGCACAAAGGGATGAGAAAGTTCCATTTCATGCAGTGGAAGAGTCCTTTTTTCCTCTGCATGGTCATCCCTGGAAACTGGCCTGCCTTCCACTCCAGTCACACATCAAGGGCTGCTGTAGAAGTTCCCTCTTCCCTGAGGCTTTACTGTTTTTTCTGAACTTAAAAACCATTAGGCCTTAACAAGGAAATTGTTTCATAGTTAAAAAAATGATGCTACATTTGTTGCAGTCATATTATTGTAGTTCATATTTCACAAGTCCCATGCTGTTACCTTATATTCTTAAAGTCCATACCTTCTCACTGGTTTTCCATGAAGCTGTTCCTCCCTGCAGCACAGCTCTTCCTGTCCTGTGAGGGGCTGCTCCTGGGCTCTCCACCCACCCCTGTTTATTCCAGTTACCTCCACGAGCTGCAGCTGCTGCCCAGCCAAGGACTCTGCAGCTGTGGCTCCTTTGGAGCAGCTGGGACCCACACAGAACTTACACAGATCTTACAGGGACTCTCCATAACAGTCCATATATTCATGCCCCCACGTACACTGGTTCAGGCTGTGGGAGGAGACACAACAGTGACATTTGTATTTATTTCAGGGCCTCCTGCAGAAGCAGAAGGAGTTGGAGAACACTCTGATTCCCACTGTAGCTCAAGAGAACTTCATGCCCCCGTTCTGAGAGGTGCATATGAATGTTCTGAATCCTTCATATGGAAATGCACAGCACTTTGCTACTGTAATTAATTACAAACCACCTCTAGCTTTTTTATGGAAATTAAATTATGAGAATTTTGATAGACTACAGGGTCATGCTACATTTTATATTGAAGATAATTTAGACTAATCATGGTTTGTCTGTTTAGAATGGTTTTCATGCTACTTGAATACAAGGGTCAATTTAATATAAACCACCAAAAACATGGAAGTAAACTGTTACATGGGTTTTTGTAGAACTCAGTGTGTGAATTTTGATAAATAAAAAGATTAAGATGTATTCTGAATGGCTTTAGTTATCTTTGTTGGTATTTTAAACTATACAAAACTGCCTGCATTTCAATATTCTGCTACCTTTCAGCCTTATACTGTGAACATCAAGTATTCTAAGACCATAGTTCATCACACAGCCTGGTACAATTCATTGGCAAAAGGGAGTTCTTTTCTCAGAAAAATTATTTGCCATGCTTGGGGGGAGGGTAAGAAGTTTTACACTGCTCTGGTATTGGTTCTTAACTTGAATAAATCAATCCACTCTTTATAGAGGGAAAGAATCAACTTCAGGCTAAAGTCTCTAAAACAAGCAAGGGTTTTGCTTGTTTTTTAAAAACTGTGCTTTTTCACCAATCATTTTCTCCCAACTAATTTTGTGGATTCAGAGTTACGTGGTTGCAAACACTCACCTGGTACCAAACAGCACATCCCAGAGAAAAGCACTAAAATCAAACGACAAACAGGAATTCCCCCAAACACAGGACTGTGCAGAGCCAGGAGTCCCAGGCAGGGCAGCAGAGCAGCAGCTCCACAGGGAATGGCTGAGGGGGAAGGGTTGGGAACGGAGCAGATGGGAAATTGAACAGACAGGAGTAAGAAACAGAGAAAGCTGTACTTACCCAGTGCCAGCTCCCAAACCAACAAAACCAAACTTTTAAAAGTGCCTGAAAGCCCCAGCAATCATTCAGCTGAAGTGGGAGAGGACTGAGGTTTTTCTGATGCAAACTGAATTCCCACAGTCAATAAATGTTGTCCTTCTCTCATTGCAGTAATCACAGTGGCCAGATAAAGGCTGGGAGGGCACAGAGCACCAAGTGAGACACACAGGTAACTGCTGGGCATGAAACCAAGCCTGGCTGTTCCTCCAGCACTTTGCAAACAATGTAAAAACCACAGACAAAGCAATGTGTTAGCAAGTCCCTTGTGCATTGAGAGTTTATTTGTTTTTTTTTGTAATGGAACTGCACCATTGGTTACTCTAATTGAGGTATTTAGCCAAAATCCAGTATATAGTCATGAAAATAAGTACACGGCCTTAGAGCTATGTAAAAACATTGTACAAAATTTGTGTCCATGTCAAATAAATACATTAATTTTAATATTTATGTAAAGAAAAATGACTTGGATACTCTTGTGGTTAAGAAAAAAAGACAACTGGCTCTTTCACCTACTTTAGGCAAACATTCATTTTTACATTGAACAGACCTCAAACTGAAGCTTAGGTAACAGGTCAAATACAAATGTAGAAACTTAAAAGTGCCAACAAACAAGATAATTCAAGTACAGTAAACGTTAAAAAATATATGTATTTATTTAAATTTTCAGATGGTTCCAACAGGGACGGGCCATCAGGGATTTAAATAGAACATGAAAACATCTGAGATAACAAGAACAAGAAACATTTTGTTCCAGAATAAAATAGAAATCATTAATCCAACGTTTTAGAAACAGAGAAGTCCACAGTAACTTAGAAAAAGAGACTTAAGAGTTCATTTTTGTTCTGAATATGGCCTGGAAGAATCACAGCAGCTATCCCAGCCACCAGGTGATAATGACTTTTCTGTATCCATGCTCTGATTGTAGGCAGATAGAAAATAATTGCTCCCTTCCTGGTTTTGATTTGCAGGAGAAATTGGGTATGTTGTTCCCAGAAAAGTCTGATGAGTGAGGACACTAAAGTGGCTGAATTGATGGAACATGTTTAATTGTCTGCTATAAACCTGGAAGTTACTGAAGGGAGTTTGTTCAACTGCATTGTGTTTTTCTCCTTCAGCAGAGCATGTTGTAGAAACTGGAGGAATTGGCTGCTTCTCTTCCAAGTCACTTTTGTAAGTCTTTTCCCCAAGGCCAGTTTGTGCTTCAGGAGGTAACTCTGTAACTGATAAGCAGCTTGCTTTAGCATCTACTCCATGTGGGCCCTTGGCCTCGGGCTGCAAAGCTTCCACATGAGTATCATACTTAGAGGCACCACTGCAGATTTCTATTTCTGCCAATTCATCCCCTGAATCCAGAGACATGTCCTCCTCATCCTTCTCATCCTTTTCTACAAGAACTACATTAAAAGAGAGAGAAAGTTCTATTCTATTGAAATATAAACTTTGGTTTAAAAGGCCATACACTACTCACAGTGTTACACTTCAGGTCTGTCAGTCCAACAGCACTTTAAGTCTTGGTCTTCTGCCACTCGAGTTCACTTACTCAACACACACACTCAACCCTCTGTGGGAGAGTCCAGTTACTGGTGCTAAAAGCTTCTGCACACCGTGCTCATATTTAGTGCTGGGCAATCCCAACTCCCAGCTCCAAAGGGGACAATGTCACAACAGGATCTAAAGTTACACAGCAGGTGAGTATTTGATCAGACAATCAAAGGAGTACAATTACTGACATCTCAGTACAGTTTATCTACTCTAAGTAGATAAAGCAGGAAGTGACAAGTTTATCCTTTCCCTGACAACAGATGCCCTGTCTAGTGCCTCAAATACCACATCAGCCTGTACTTCTGTGTTGAAGGTCTCCATCCCCACTGCTTTTCCCCCACCATTTCAAACACCTTGCCAGCTGCAGTGGCTGCTGACCAGAGTCAGGCACACTGTCCCAGCACCTCTACCCCACACATGCACTTTAGGAAGGAAAGTTTAAGTGTGTTTGACCTCACCTGATTGTCTTTGGCCAGCACTGCCAGCAGCAAGGTTGTTCTGCTCAGTATCAGAGCTGTGAAACCCCACAAGATTTTTAAAGTTATGCATAAAGTCATCAACAGCAGCAACCACGATGCCATTATCAACGTAACTCGAGAGAGTCTTGAGATTCTTTTCTAAATACATACAAGAGGAGTTTGTATTAATATTCAGCACCTATTATCAAAACAGGGAGAGAGGTGTTCACAAATGTGGGGTTTACCTGTTAGGAAGACAACATGTCTCTGCTGTATGTTCTGAGCTTGAAGCCTGATGAGACATTCAAGTTCTGGAGCATTTCGAGTTTGAGAGTCACAGTTATGGTAGGACAGAATCTCAACCAAGTTCTTCTTCTGGTAGGTGTTCAGAAGGGTGAGCAGGTTCAGGGCATTGGCATTCATCCTGCGGGGGTGGGCAAAGCTCACTATTAGAAACAGTTTAAGGTCAGTCTATACAGCAACAGACAAACAGAAGAGTAAGTTCTGTTAAGTGTTTTGGATGGCATAAGGAAAGCTGAAGCCTTTTAACAGCTGCTATTATAGAACCTTACTTACCTCCCCAGCTCTTTCAGTTTCTTTTGTATTTTGCAGTGGACCTTCCATTGCCATTTCCCATCTGGGGTATTGAGATCCTCCAGAAATGTTAGGAACTGTTTCAGTTTATCTGTTGTAGAGATATTGAATAAAAGTTCAATTTTGCGGTATGTAGACTGAAAATATTGCTTCAGTGTGTACAGAAAGCTGTTTCCTGTTTGTGTCACAGTACGGTCACACAACTACAAACAGCAGCCACTCACTCCAAAGCTTTATTCCATGCAGGCTGGCCAACAGCAGTACCATAAAGCTGAGCTGCCTTTCTGTACATCAGGTATTTAAAAGCTGACTTCAGCATACACACTCTGCCTTGCTAAAATATTGCAAAAAATTGTAACTTCATTAGCTATTGAATTTCAAATGAAGAAAAAGTATATACAGCATGTTTGTGGATGGAGTAGTGAGAAATAAAAGGCTCCACAGACATAACGACACAATGCAACACAAACTGAAGACAAAATCTCCCTGTTCATGTGTTCTTCAAGAACACCCTGGGCTGAGAAAGAGACTGAATTAGCTGAAGTTTTTAAAGAACATCACAAAAACTGGAGGACCTGATCCTTCACTGAGGTGAGTACAGGACCTCTCACATACTGACATGTCAGGATTTTAGTTCTAAACCTTCCAGAAGGATCACACCTACCTGTAGTGATGGACTCTGGGTTCAGGACAGATTCATCTGACACAACAAAACCCCCAGACACAAACAGGTCATGGTAAGTGCGATTCTTCACATCATTCAAACTGTCAACCCCTGCAAAGCTGACACAGGAGAACCTCTTCAGAGTCACCAGGCCAGGGATCTGTTGAAAAACATTGGAAATTAGAGCTGTAAGCACAGGTCACACAGATAAAGGAATTACAGAACTCTCCTATCTACTAATGCCAGGCACCAAACTTCAAAACACATTTTCAAGAAATCACTGTTTCTTCCCTTGCCTAGGGAGGTGCTCTCTCAGGAGCATTACAGCAATAAGGTAAATGGACACTGAGCACTTTGAGTAATTTTACTTTCTGCCCAGCACAGGGTCTTAAGCTGGCAGGAATAGCTCAGGCCATGTGAAAGCTGCCTTCACCTCCTGTTGGAGCACCACAGAACCAGAACTCCTCAGGCCTCTGCACAGCTCTGCAACTACTGACAATAAATATGCATTGGCCTGTGCATGGTGGTGGAAGAAGTTATGAGTAAATGTTGGACAAGACCATTTTTACTACAACAACCATTTTGTTTCTTCCAACAGCAGCTAAACACAGGGCACTGCTGAATGCTGTGCTGTTGGAAGGAAGCAGCCTTGCCCCACATGAGCTGCTCTCCCAATTGCCAGCAGGTTTCTGTAGCTCCCAGTTACTTACGTGGGACATACCTTATGGATGAGATTGGCAATGTCTTCGTTTTGGATAATGATCAACAGTTTCTCTGAATTATCTCCTCTTCTAAGGAACTCCTCTGGATGGCACTCTGTGTTCCCTAACTTTCTGAGATACTCCTGCCACCACAGAGAGAGGAGACAAGGAAAAAGTCAATAGGCAGTTTGGTAAAAACAATGCCCAGATGACACCCACAGCAAGGAGGTTTTCCATTCAGTGCTTCCCAGAGGGACTGGCTGCTTTATCCCTCCCAGACATGAATCAGAAGGATGCAGCAACACAGAGCAGCTGTTTCAGCAACTCAGTCATTCTTATCAAATCACACACAACCAACTGACAGGATCAAACTGCCCCAGTTTTCAAGGAAGGCCAGAAGTTTACCACTTTATCTTACACATTTAAGTCACAGAAGCACAGTGATTCCTCAAAGTTCTGTCTACTATTAATTAGAGGAGAAGAGAAACAACCCCAAAGGCACACACAGTGACTTTTCACACATTCTTTCTAAAATGGTAGCTATCACATTTCTTCACTTATCACTTTTTTTTTGTAAGCCCCTGGCAGGATCTTCAGAAAGGACCAACCTGCAGCCTGTTCTGTTTTCCAGCTCAAAGACTTACGTAAAAGCTAAATATAAGCAAGGCTACCACAAAAGCTCAGTGAGGAAAGGGGACAGGACAGCCTATTTTCACAGCTCACTTTCACAGTGCAAGTGAGTCCAGTTTCATACAAGTGGATTTCAAAGACACTCTGTCTGTTCTGACAGTGGAGAGAGGCTGAACTGAAACTGCTTTACCTTGATTTCTCTGCAGAGAACACTTTCTTCCTCTTCATGGATATAAAATTGGATTCTGTTTTTCTGTACATTTTCCATTATTTGGACGAAACCGGTAAATAATTCAGGCTTTAACCTGCTTATCAAATCAGAAAAATCTGGTTGAGTTGAAATGTTGAAGTTCTTAGGGGACTTCTGAGTTTTTTCTGGTGTTCCCCGGAGATCCCCACCAGAAGCCTGTTCCCCTGGCTGAGCACTCCCAAGGCCCGCAGTGTCCGTGCCCGGGGCCAGGCCGGCCCAAGGCAGCTCCTCCCCCGGTTGATCGCACGGCAAATCC